TGATTTGGAGTGAAACGGTCTAATGATGTTGTGGTTGTTCAATGGAGAAATGTTGTTGTTGTAACTGTTGTTGAGGCTGAAACCAGAATTGTTGTTGATGTCGGTGCTGTTGTTGTAGTTTTTGCAGTTTTTGATGTCATACTCGTTTGCATTATTCATATTTGTTGCGTTCAGTAACCTTTGCTGCAGCAACGACTTCGAAAGTGGGCTTTGTTGTTGAAAATATTGAGGATGTTGTTTCTGCTCACTTTGCTGGTGTGTGAGTGGATCTTTTTGTTGCATCTGTAAATGAACGTTGTTGAGATCAGCAGATTGTTGCTGCTTATCAGGAATTTCTTCTTCAAAGTTGAGTTGCATCGTTTGCAATTGCTGCCGTTTCACTTGCAGTTCTTGTTGTTGGTTGTATTGTTGTTTGAAGTGGTAGTTCAGAAGTTGCTGAGGCTGCTGATGGAATTGTTGTGGCAGATGATGTTGTTGTTGATGTTGAGAATTCTGTTGATGTTGGTGTAGTTGTTTAGGCTGTTGCTGTTGGAATTGTTGTTGATGATGTTCAGCAGGTTGAACGTCGTGTTTAATTTTCATAAATTGCATTATTTGTTGTTGTGATAGTTGATTTGGTTGTTGGTGGGATTGTTGCAGTTGATGTGGTTGCGGTTGTTGCTTATGTTGAATAGGTTGTTGCTGGTGATGTTGTTGCCGGTTTCTATCAAAAATATTCTCGTTAGGTGAGTACGAGCAAGGACTGATAAAGCAAACATCATCAGTTCTGCCATCATCATCGTAAACAACAACTTCATCATCGTCATCGTCGTCGTCAATTTCTTCAGTCTCATACTGTTCTTCAATGTTGTTGTTGTTGATGTTGCTGATGGCGTTATTGTTGATGATGTTGTTGTTGTTTTTGCTATTCATTATTTTTTGCTAGTAATTATCTGTAATCTGTTTTTGAATTACGATAAATATTATGATTAATCTTTTCGTTATTAATAAATTTTTTCAACAGTACTAGTAGTAGTAGTAGTAACAAAAATATTACTAACTAAATATAGATTAAGCTTATAGGGTTTAAATCTCGAAATACTGGAAACATTATGAACTGTCTAATATAACATGAAAAATTTGGTTGAGAAAGGTCCACAAATAAGTTTGGCTTAGTGTAGAAATAAATTTTTAGATTAATAAATTTTAATTTTGATGATGTTTGTAAATTTTGAACCTTCTTAATTATAATTTACTCTTCCTCAATTTTTAATATTATCAGCAGACAAGGCTTAAATTTCTATCGACATTTTATAAATGTCCACTAAAAATTTACTTCTACCTTCCTCAAATTAAATCCACAAAAAGTTGAAAGGATGTCTCACGTAGCACCAAAACAATTTTTCACATTTGAGTGTGATTTTGCATCGCATATCAGCCCATCTTAAACCTTTAGGCTCTACGTCTTCATCACTTTCTCAAGAGGCTCTACGTCTTCATCACTTTCTCAAGTTCGAAATTTCATTTTCGTTCTGATTAAGACACGCACCCGTATTATTTGACTTAACTTCCACGTTGTTTTTGTTCCTCTCGGTTGAAATGACTTCCCGTTTAACTTGCTGTCTTGTGGTGTTTCGCTGTGATCCATGTTATCCCATACAAGACGCCCAACACGTCTCATCATTCACATTTTCATTCATCTTTGCTTCACCGTTCATCCTCATCAGCAGCAGCATCCTCTTCACTTATATTCATTTTTTCAGCAACATCAACCAATCAACCTAGCAAGTTTCTTAGAGCGTTTTTCAAAATAAAAAAATTTTTAGTCAACATTTTCAACAGCCATCAGGAGAGCTTTTTAAGAAATGTTTTTTGAAGCAATTAACTTTTTTAGAGTTTATCTGGACACCCTCGAGCTATGGGGCTTTATACAAATGAATTCGCTAACAATAACATTGTTATAAATAGCAATATTCACCAAAATGTTTCTGCCTTAGAGTTATAACGTCAATTGAGTTTGCCAGAAGAGCTGAGTTTCATGGCATGTTGTATTTAGTAGCATATTAAATTTTAAAACCACACAATTAATTTGAGCAGACACGCGAGTTTGGATTTTTTAGAATTTGGAATTGTGCAGATTCAAAATTAAAATCAGAATCCACATGGCGCGAATTTCAAGTTCCTGGATTGTCGCATTTCTATATGCTGTAGCATTAGTAATAACAATAAAAAATAAGATAAAATGTAGTTATGGAAATATAACTTTAAATGTTTAGTCAACCGCTTACGAAATCATATGAAAAATTTTCTCATCTGATTTCAAGTAGAGAAGTACACAATTGTAAGTTTCGAGAGGTTCAGATAAACTTCATCGGAGTGCATTTGACAGGTGGCATCAATCAGCGTTAAAGTTTTTGTTGCCGAGTTCAGCGTTCGTGTCATTGAAAACATCATGACACGAACGCTGATGGAAATATTTAATGGTATTAATGTTATTCCTGCTGGTTCTCTTTGTATATTTCTTGCATTAACGATAATTTTACTTTAATCTAATTACTAAAAAAAACCTAGCATTCAGCTATATTTGCGGCAACAATAGCAACAATAACAATAGGAACAACAACAACAACATCAATAAATTAACACTAACAATATTAATCACCAACAAAGAACATTAACTTCATTACAGTGTTAACTGAATTGACCAGATCATGGATGGATGGATGGAGAGGGAATGGATGGATGGATGGATATATGGATGAACGAAAGGAACGATGGATGGAAAGATAGATAAGTGGATGAATATATGAATGGATAGATAGATGGATATATATAATATATCTACTGATATATATCTATCAGTAGAATTCATACAATACTATTTATAAACATGTTAGAAGGAGACCATATTTTATACAGTATTCTTAAATTGCTAATAAATTAAGATATTAAACTGAATTGGCCAAATCATGAATAGATGAATTGAATTCATACAATACTATATATAAATATATATATATACATATATATATATATACATATATATATATATAAATATATATATATATATATACATATATATATATAAATATATATATATATATATATATATACATATATATATATAAATATATATATATATACATATATATATATATATATATTATATGAGCATTTATATAGCGCTTTTTATAAACAAATTACTCAAAAGCGCCCTCATAAAATGAACAAACAACAAAATGTACCTATAATTAAATACACAAGACAAGCAAACTATAATATCAGTCAAATTTAAATAAAAAAGTTATAAAAAAAAGGTTAAGCATCCGAAGTAGTTGCTAGTTTCGCATCACTTTGATTATACTGGTATTTATCAATGATCAAATCTTATTGTTGAACGACCAGGAATTTTTCCTGCTGACCAAATCGGCATTCGAATTATTTACAAGAGCAGATGTGTTCAAGTCTCTATCATTATTGCGGCTGAGCCTATCAGACAACTGTTGTACACTTTCTTGGATATTGTTAAGCAAATTCTTATGGCCGTCAAGTAGTTCAACGATGATCGGTTTCACTTCGTCGAAATCTTTTTCTACCCTATCGCAATATAACATTTCGCTCGAAATTAATTTTCTGGCCATGTTGAAAAAACTTTGTATATATACATTTTGGAACGAGGTTTTTTTTGATGCAAATATCGTTAAATATTTTTGCCCATTTTGCATTAATTAATTTTTTAATAAGGATTTCGGCAACACGAAGCTGTTTTAATTCATATTTATTATCATTATGTGTCATCCTAGGCTTACAACGTTGTTTCGACATACAGTCATCATCAGAGCCTGGTTTTACGAAATATCAAAAATTGAATTATAATTTAAACATTAAAATCAAGAAATTTAATGAAAAGTACAAGAAATGAAATTATGACGTTGTAATTAGAAAATTAGAAATATGAAAATGTAAAATATGAGAAAATGTTACCTTGTAATAATAAAATATTTTAATAAAACAATAAACGGTTTTAAACGAATGAAATTAAAACAAAATTGTGAAAATAAGTAAATAAATGTGTAGAAACGTATAATAAAACAATTCAGTTAGACGTGAAAAACAAGTGTTTCGTGGCGGGATGATATTAAAAGTGAAAGTCAGTAAGACGATATAAAAAAGGTGAATGTAAAGTTAAAATTTATTATTATAATTAACAAATAATTTAGATAAAGAAAAAATAAAATTTGAAACAAAATAAAATGACGTTATTAAAATAAGTATTATAGAAAGATAAGTAATAAAATATAAATATAAAAATATCATAAAATAAAAATAATTTAGCAGTTATTGAATAAGGTAGCAAGTGACGTGATGACCATGGATTTCGGACGTGACGTTAATAACTGTGTATTAACTGGTCGAAAATTGTCAGACTTAGAGCGTTTGGGTACTGAAACGTCTGCTGGCTTGTTTTCGACTGCAATTGTTGGTATCAGTTCACGATATTGAGAAAATAATTGAAGGGTATGATCGAAACTATTATATTGTTTGTTTAATGTTGGTTTGTATTTGTTGATGTACAGGGCTTCGCGAATTTTGAGACGTCCAGTATTTAAAACTGAATCCAGTATTGTTGTATTTGAATCCAATATGGTCTTAGTATATATATATATATATATATATATATATATATATATATATATATATATATATATATATATATATATATATATAAAAATATTTTTTGGTATATAGATAACTAAATACATTTTTCTATATAATACATAGTGTATATATTTATAAACAAATAAACTAATATGTGTATCAAGGGACGGGCAAGAACAATTATTTTGAAAATATTAAAAGCTTAATTTGTTTGCTATTTTTGTTTGTTTATTTGTTTGTGGGCCAAAGTGGATGGGAATTAACAACTTGAACGTAGGGCTACGCAGTGTATTACCAGCATCAAACGAATAACAGAGAAGTAAAGGAAGCAAGAGAGAGAAAGAGAGCGAGTGACTGAAATGAATGAGAAAATAGAGGGGAGATAAAAAAGAGTTAAAAAAATTTAAGAAATAAAGTGAAAATTGGAGATACAAGATTGATGAACAAAGAATGATTGAATGAATGAATGAATGAATGAATGAAAGAATGAATGAAAAAATGAATAAAAGAATGAATAAACGAACGAACGAATAAATGAATGAATGAACGAACGAACGAATAAATTAACAAATGAATGATCAAAATGAATGAAAGAATGAATGAACAACAAATAAACAAACGAACGAACAAATGATTACGCCTGATGACTAACTTGAATGACTTAGTTAATCGTTAACTACTGTGCCGACAATGATAACCAAACGCAAGATGGGAAAAGTGCCCGCAAATTCAATGGAAGTAACCTTCAGAGGTCGTATCTTTTGAAAAGTTATGACTCTTATCTAATTAGTTTTATATTTCCCTAATGCTATGCCCAGTGCGGAAGTTAGGATTATTATTATTATCATCATCATTAATATTGTTATTACTATTGTGTATTTTTATCATCATAGTTATTATTATTAATATTATTATTATTTTATTACGTCTAATAATAATAATAATTATTATTATTATTATTATTATTATTATCATCATAAACCTTTGCTTGGAGGCAGCTTATCAGCCAGCGTAGATATAAATGAATAACATTGCTGCTGGAGATAGAATTGAAACCAGCACCTCAACAACAACAACAGAAACAACAAAAACTACTACAACTACTACTACTTCTACAACAAGTTTGCAGATTTTTCACAGACTGTCTATCAAACAAAAGATTATTTGCAACCTTGCTAGGTTTTCATTATTTTATTTTATTATGTCTCTTAATTGAAATTTTGTATCTCATACAGTTCCATTAGTTATTATTATTGCTATGAAAGGTATTTATTTTTAGGATAATGGTGGCGTTTTACGATGTGTCATCTCGTAACCTTGCAATGCCTGGTAGAATGTATCTGTTGACCGGTTCAAGTTTTGAACTAAAATTCCTCCAGTAGAGTTGCAGTTCATAAGCATCCGGTTTCTATGATCATTTTCATCATTTTCATCGTCAGTACGATCATCACAATCCCCTCGTCATCGTCTTCCTCCTCACTTTCACACCTCATAAACATTCACAGCTCGAATTATCGCAATAAACGCTTGCTAGGAAATATTACGCCAGCTAAAGAAAAATAAACACATCGGTAAACAATTAAGTAGTCACTGTGAATGTTTATCGTCAGTGAAAAATTATTAATAATTTTATATTAAATTTTTGAATATTGAAACAATGCAACAACAGTTTATGATCATCGACGGTATTAAGAAGTCGTAAATTGGGTTTACGTAGTTATTTGGATTAATTTATTGTTTCTATTACTGCTGGTATTAAATAAAGGTTCAACTTAGTTTGCGTTTTAAAGTTGTTATGTTCATCTATCGGAGATCCTTGAACCTACGGATAAACGAACTCTGGACTATCGTTGGAAGCTACAAGACGGTGTTGGGAATATAGCGAGTACTGAAGCTGTAACATCGGTGTTGGTAGTTACGAGGTCGAAGAGGTCACGACACTGGTGTTAGAAGTGGGATTTTCAGGAGATTGCACACTGGTGATAGAAGTTAGATTTTGATAGCTGAAAACTTACCACAGTAAAAAACACCAGGGCTAGAAAACTCAATGTAATTAGTCTGATAAGAGAAGCTTAACTATTGACAAATAGTTGTATTCCGTGATTTAGCTGTTGATTAGTTATTGTGCTGTATTCAATCAATTTTATTGATTGAATAAACAAGTGGTTGATCACAGTAATGCACGCAAGTGATTGCCAGCACTGTTTTCTTTCTGATAAAGTTCATCCGAAATAAGTCTGTTCAGGAGTCAAGAATCCACGCAGAGAGAAATGACCATACCCTACAAGTTCAAGGGGTCGGTTATAACAATATGAACATTTTTTGAACTTTTGAATTTCTATAAAGCGATTGTTTTCCCAAAAGCCTGAGTATGAAGTTAGTTTGCATAGAAGTCCAATTGTATTTGTTCGCTTATTTGTAACGAAATTTTTTAAAATGTAAAAAAATAAATATGGAATGAGCACGAACTCCCATTAAATTTTTGAAATTTATAATCGAAAGTTTTAATAAATATAAAAGTTAAAAAAAAGTGGATTCCATAAAAGTGAGTGCAGCTAATTTCAAACATCACGCATCTGACAATACAGAACCGAATAACACCAGCTAAATGGACCATTAAAAGTTTGCACCAGTTTGGGTGCAGACGCGGTTACGTGTGGATGAAAAATACATAACGATAATAACGCAACAACAGTTGAAATTTCACAGTGCACTCAGGCGCACTGGTTCATTTAAAATAAATTTAATGTGTTTTTTGGCTGTTTAAACAAGCGGAAAATAATGACAATAATAGATTGCTGGTCTGGAAGCATGGATTATTAGGCAAGGTATTAACAACAATCAAATGCTTTTTCAACATCTCAATTGTGTTTATAAATATCTTAAAATTTTTAAATGAAAAGAACGAATTTCACACAAAATGCATACATAAATACGTACGTACATACATGCATTTATATACATATGCATACATACATGCATGCATACATGCATACATACATACATACATACATACACGTGCGATTTGGTGGGCTGGGGTTGTTTAGCGTGCTTCAGCTGGCTCCAGTTGTTTATAATTCTTCTGCCGCTGCCATTCTCGACCTGCAGTCTTCCCTGCTCCACCGGTTTTTTCGTTGCCGCGATATTCTCTCCCCAGTGTCTGCCCCGGGGGACCGTACGCACGTCCAAATTTTGAACAAAGAATATAAAAAGATCTTTCAAAATTTGTTGTCTTCATGCGGCGACGACTTTTCCACCGCTCGTTTGTTGGCCATGTCCAGCGTTGCCAGCTGTGGGTGGTTGAGATCGTGGCCCAACACCTCTGTGGGCACCAGGCTTGACGACGAGTCTGTGAGATTTGCCATTGGCTTCAGACTTGGCCTGGTCATTCAAAATAAATACACGTGCCGATGTGGCGCAGGGGCGGACGAGTTTGGGCACCACGGTTTGGTTTGTCGCCTGGGTGGGGGCCGTCAACTACGTTACTCAGCATTAAACGACTACATTTGTCGGTTCTTCTCCAAGGCTTCAATCCCAGTTCTCAAGGAACCATCCGGCATTTCTGCGCATGATGGTAGGCGCCCGGACGGATGCACACTAATACCTTGGAGAGCCGGTAGATGTTTGGCGTGGGATGTTATTGTAAAATGATCAACGTCATTTCGTGCTTGTTGCAGCGGTTCCTGCGTGTCTGTGTGCTTGAAAATATCATCCGGCTTGAATGCCGACATGTGCAATTAACGACAAATCAAAGTGTTAATCCATTTGTTACTTGATGTTTGACGGTTCAGTGTCACTCATCATGTTTTGGTTTTAACATACATACATACATACATACACACATACACACATACATACATACACACATACATACATACACACATACATACATACATACACACATACACACATACATACATACACACATACATACATACACACATACATACATACACACATACATACATACATACTCTCTCTT